CAAAGCGAAAAATTTAAGTTCACATAATCTAACCTATAATAAATTAGTTTATATCTCTGTACTCGCTGCATTTTTACGATAAAATGACAATATAATTAAAAACATATTTAAAATCATTCTGTATATCTTTTAAACTTTTATTTGATTAGCTAATAAGAGTCAATTGCCTATAGTATTTATTAAATGCTTCATAATATATTAATAAGATGCTAGATAAGTTATTGTTTGCATGTTACTTGTACTATTTGTTAGCTACTATATTTGCTTTCGTTCCTGGTTTCTAGCGTGACTATATCGCGCAGCTATCTTATTAGAATAAAAGAATTTAGAATGATTAACTTCTTTAAGAATTACTTTTATTATTGGGTATAAATCATGTGATTAATCTCTACTAAGTAGAGCTACCAGTAGCTACCACTACTGGTAGCTACCACCTACTGGTATCTACCAGTAGAAAATTTAGCGGAAGTGGTAAATTCACATCACTAGACAAAATACAGTAACAAGGATGTTATGCAAAGTATTTTTTGTTATTAGTCTCTCTAGTTAGTTGTTCTCTCTAAAAAAGTAGAAGCAATATAACAATATTTAAATATTTGCTGAGAATAACAAATAGTGCTATTCGAGTAAAACTAAACAAAATACAACTATGAGTTCAAAGATTCAAAGATATCTATTAGTCAAGTATACTAAACTAATTATTCTTCAATAAATGACTATTATCTCTGCATACTAATTCATTATTCTCAAAACTAAAAAATTTTAAAGTAAAAATAATTACTAGAGAACTCTTAACTTACTTAATATTTTATTAATAAAATCTCTCTAAACATAAAAACTATTTATATGCATATTATATATCTTCTCCTAAAACAATAATATATTTATTTACTTGTATTTACAATTCTTCATCTATTAACAAGACTTCTTGCTAATATAATATTAATACTGACTACTAAAACCAAGTTACCTACAACTAATCTCACTAATTTTATTAGTACCTTTAAATATCTTTATATTCAAAATAAAGTTCTAATTAGATTTATTATATTAACAACTTTAGTACTATTTGAAAAAGATTATTACAGAACTGAATTTACTCTATTACTATATTATCTAATTATCTAAACAATATATAAAGAAATCTAGTTATTTTTATAACAAATTATCTCTGTAAAAAAATTTAAGCTTTATTTTTCTATTATTTTTCTGTGTTTGAATTTCATATTTTTTCTATTTAAATTACCAAATGCCAACTTCCGCATTCTTTCCATAAATGTTGCATATTTATGGAATACTTCTGGAATTATATTGTTCAAATAATAGAAATTGTACGAAAATTTCACTGAAACTTATGTAATAATAAAAATGTTTTTATTCAATTATGGAACTTGTATGAAGACTTTACTGAAATCTTACTGTAAAGTTTATTAAATTTATATGGATATAAGCTGGAATTTTTATTGAATTACTTTATGCGTCAATATAACAATAATACAGGTTTAAATCTATTGCTATAATGAAATAACACTATAATTTTATGGAATTTTTGCGAAATACATATCTCTACTATTCCTTCACTTTTTATTAGTTTTTATTCTCTTATTAATTCTTGTCTTCGTTTCTTTTGTCTTTTGTTCCCCTTTTCTTTTTTTACCTATTACTATATAAATAAATGTATAAATAAATTAGAAAGTAAAAAAATGCAACAAATACTTGTTTTACTAGAACAGGAAGAACTATCGATGTTACATAACTGATCCTTTATAAAAAAATTATTTTATAATATCAGATCAGTTGTTAACATCAATGGTTCCTCCTGTTTTTTGCTAGCAATCTTACATATATTATTTAAGGTACTAGAGTCTTGTGTATTGTTTTTAATAGTACCATCTTGTTGAGAATATTTTCAATACTATTATCTTTTCGGACAGAAGACCGAAGACTTTTTTTTAACGAAGGCATCACGGGGGTTAAAGTGCCTTGACTAATATTTTTTCTTCTAATAGAGCGAGAAGACTGAACACTTTTTGATGACAATACATTAATTGTAGGAGCTGAAGTATCGGAATCTTGTGCATTATTGTTATTATTATTTGTAATATCTTGCATAGGAGACTGAACACTTTTTCCTACTATAATAATTATTAAAATTGATGTTATTTTTACTGAATATGCATCTTTGAATAAATACCTTTTTTTGGTAGTAACATATTAATCGCAGGTAGTAAAGTATCATAATTTTGTGAATTATCATTATCGTTATTTGTAGAAGACTGAACATTTTTTCTTGCTATGTTAATTATTAAAATTGATGTTATCAGATTTTTTTTGATTCTTTACACAATGAATATAGCGTTTTACTAAAGCTACTAATGATATTTTTATTAGTATACATTATTGAGCGAAAAGATAAATACCTTTTTTTGGTAGTGATATATTAATCACATGTGGTAAAGTATCTTGTGAATTATCGTTATCGTTATTTGTAGAAGGCTGAATTTTTTTTCTTGCTATATTAATTATTAAAATTGATGTTATCAGATTTTTTTTTTTGATTCTTTGCACAATGAACGTAGCGTTTTACTAAAGCTACTAATGATATTTTTATTAGTATATGTTATTGAGCAAAAAGATAAATACCTTTTTTTAGTAGTGACGTATTAATCACAGGTGATAAAGTATCTTGTAAATTATTATTATCGTTATTTGTAAAAGGCTGAACATTTTTTCTTGCTATATTAATTATTAAAATTTGTTATCTTTACTAAGTATGCATTTTTGAACTGAAGAATAAATACTTTTTTTGAGTAGTGAGATTGTATTAATCGCAGGTGGATTTTGTGCATTATCATTATTGTTATCGTTATTTGTAATATTTTGCGTAAGAGACTGAGCACTTTTTCTTGCTAAATTTAATTATTAAAATTGATATATTAAGTATACATATTTATATACTGAATATCTTTGAATAGAAGGATAAACACCTTTTATTAGTAGTGGTATTGCATTAATCGAAGTATCAGAATCTTGTGCATTATTGCTATCATTATTTGTAATATTTTGTATAGGGGACTGAATACTTTTTCCTGATATATATTAATTATTAAATTGAAATATGATATTTAATAAAGCACTATATGCGCACCTTATATAATAAGTAAATTCAAAAAGATAAACAAAAAATTGAAATATTTTCTTTACTTAGATACATCTTTGAATAAAAAAATAATACCTTTTTTAAATAGTGACCTTATATTAGTCGCAGGCATTAAAATATTAGAATCATCACTTACTGTACTGTCTTGATCAGTATTTTCGATGTCATAATCTTCTCTTGGTATATTATATTCAAGATTTGAAGTGACAGAATCTTGGGTATGGTCGGTTATTTTATGTATGTCTTCTTGATTAGATATACTTTCTATATCGAAATGGTTTATGTATTTTTGAACAGGATGTTGAGTATTCTTCTTTGGTAATGGTAATGCACGTTTTTTATTTTTGTACCAGCAATTTTCTTTTTTTTTGCTTGATTAATATCTTTTCGTATATTAGTCACAAGAGTAGAAGTATCAGAATCTCTTGTATAGTCAGTCATCTCATCTACGCTATCTTGATCGAGAACACTTTCAATTTGAGTATAGCTTGTATTATATTTTCGAGCAAGAGGCCGAACATTCTTTTTCAGTAGTGGTAATGCATACCTTTTTGCTTTTGCATTAGCAATTTGCTTTTTTTTTTCTTAATCAACTATTATAGTTATAGAAAATTTAGATTGTAAATAATAAGAAGCTATACTGCTATAAGATGATACTTATCTATGCTATTACAATATGAAGCAAGCCAGTCACGAAGAATAAAATCAGCTTCAGAAACTGGAAATATTGGATTCGCTTCATTAAACTATAATAATAATAATAATAATAAATATAAAAACAATAGTTTTTATACTTCAAAAATTTTAGATTATTACTTCTTTAATTACTTCTTTAGCTTTTCTCTTTGGTTGTCAGGATAGAGGTTCACCACGTAAAAATCGAGAAGCTGTACGATTTCATAGATCATTCTGCAATATACCAATATGTATAATATTAATATTAATTAAAAAAACTGTAAAATACATAATAAACACACTATAAGGTATCTTCTTTAAGGAAGTACAAAAAAAAGCAAACTTACCCTAAAATTTAAGTATTGCTTTTTGTCTAAGTTTAAAAATTCATACCATTGTAATTCATTTTTATTTCTTTTTTGAGTATCTTTATAGTCTTTGTATTCTTTAATCTTTATTGGGTTCATTGTAGATCCTTTTAGGAACTGCAATATTATATGCATATTAGCCCAAATGATTTTAAGCAAATATTTATAGAGCAAAAAGAAACCTACTTGCTCATTAATAATCCCATGAACACCACTACGTAAATCTAAAAGTGGTTGTGCAAGAGTAGGATCGATAGCAACTAATATAGCATATAACTGACGATGTCGTTCAGAATTTAGCTCATTAGGCAAAGTTGGATCAGCATCGATTAGTGTGAGAAAAAGTTAACGATATTGCTCAGAATTAAGTATGTGGATATTAACTGAAAGATTATAGTTTTCCATTAGATTTTTTTTATTTTGAAATGTTATACTTTTTAATTGATTTTTTTATTAAATGAATAAAAGAAATTTAAAAAACAAACCCAAATTATATTTATAGTAGCCAACATTTATGACGTATTTACTCTGAGTCTATTATTAATCATCAAAGTATCAGTAGTATATAGCAATATATAAATTACTTTTACAATCTTTAATAATAAAATAGTTTTTATCTTACAATGATCAATAATGTTCTTTGTACATATGTCTGGTACCTGCAAGGGACAAACGGTCAGGGTAAATTAGTTAGCAGAGCAATCTGTGCAAGACATTTAACGAAGCAAAAAAAAACCTAGCCTAAATCAACAGATATGCCTACAATATAACGACAGCTAGCTACTCCTATTTCTACGCTTTTACTAGTTCAGACATATCTAGATAAAGACAACTGCGATAATAATAAACTCACTAATATTAGAGATGAAGAATCGTCTAATGAAAGTAATGAATCATTGGAGGTTCAAGAGGGTGATATAATATCTGAAGAATCATCTAATGAAACTGATGACCTAGTTGAATCATTGGATATTCAAGACAGTAGTATAATGTCTGAAGAATCATCTAATGAAACTGTTGATCTAGTTGAATTATTGGATATTCAAGATAGTAGTATGATGTCTAAAGAATCGTTTAATGAAACTGATAATCTAGTTGAATTGTTAGATATTCAAGAGGGTAATACGATATTTGAAGAATTGTCTAACAAAAGTGATGATTTAAGCAAATCATTGGAAGTTAAAAAAAATGAATATACCGAATTTGGTAAGCATATAAAAATATTCTACAATTATCGTTATTGGAATTTATTATAATGTTCTAATTTACTTTGTAGATATTTCGAAAAATTTAATTAAAGGATTAAAACTTTTTAAAATTAAAGACAATCATAATATTTCTGAGACTGCGTTTAATGAAATTTTTGAAGTTATGGAAATTCCTGAAATTACTCTTTACTAACTTGGAAGATATCTTGAAAACTTTGTACCTTTAAAGCCGTCTCTTATAGACTGTTGTATTAATTCATGCATAGCATTTATAGGTAATTTTAGTAATAAAAATATCTGTCCAAAATGTAAAGAACCTCATTATAAATCTGACAAAGTATCCAAAATATCTCAAAAAAAAGCAGCATACTAGTCACTTATTGATTCACTTAAATTGCAATACAAGGATAAATTACATGTAGAAACTCTTTGTTACTACTACAATTATACATCAACACATAGTTATACTTTGGGTAACAAAATTGGTGATATATTTAATAGTTCCCGATACAAGTCATTGGTTTTTTCTGGATTTTTTTCAGATTGTAGAGATGTTGCTATAATATTATCTACAGATAGTTATCAAATTTTCATCAAAAGTAGGACGATTGTTGGATCATACTTGTCATAAATGCAAACCTACCACTAGATATATGTGTTTAACAAGAAAACTTAATGATCTCTACTATTATTCCAGGGTCAAAAGCACTAAAAGACTTTAACTCTTTTCTACAACTGTTGGTTAATGAGTTAAAACAGTTACAAGGTATTATCAATATATATATATATAATATATTATACTCACTAATTAGTATTAATAAATATAGATGGTATCTAGTGTATCGATGACATAACAGAGAATATTTTTACTCTTTGTGCACATGTTCTAAGCTTGTCTGGTGACCTTCCAGCACTTGCTAAGGTTATATATACGACAGGACATAACTCATATAAGGTATGCTGGTTTTGTTCTATCCAGGGAATATATTGTCAAAGAAATCGACATGTATACTATCCACTTAAGCCTCCAACTGGTATGTCTGGACGTCAGTATAATCCTAAAGATCTTCCATTAAGAACACATGAAAATTATATACATAATGCAATAGCTATAGAGCATATGAGTAGGAAGCTATATAAAGATGAGGCACAAAAGTGAGGTATATTATTATTTTTCAATAAATAAAATAAAAATAATATTAATTTATTTTACTTAATAGGTTTAAATGGCCGAAGTATATTATTTGAACTCAATTCAATTGAGTTTCCTATATCGTTCCCCATTGACATTATGCATGGATTATTTGAAAATGTTGCACCAGTAATGCTTCGGCATTGGTCTGATACTTTTTTCAAAGATAGTCAAATTTCTAATGCTAATTATATTCTTTCTAATAGTGATTGGACTAAAATAGGTAAAACTATAGAAAGCAATCGAAAAAATATGCCATTAAACTTTGGGCATCCACTTATTGATATTCAACGACATTCAGCTGTATTCAAGGCAGAAGACTGGTTAAACTGAGTGGTGCTATATTTGTTACTACTTTTACAAAACTATCTTCCAGAAAGGTAGATCATGTACAATAAGCTATATATTAATTTTTGAGTTAGATTTTTAATATTTTTATATTATTAAGATATTTAAATAGATGAGCTAAGTTTGTATATGCGACAAAGCTTTGTCTCAAAAAAAGTATCAGTATAGAAGAATTGGTAAAAATTAGCAAACTCTTCCATGAATTCGTGACTCACTATGAAAAGTATGTTTTTTAATGTTCTTTATTTATTACTATACATTATTATTTTTTTTATAGATCTTAGCACAATTACTGCAAAACATCATTGGTATGCAATTTATTCAATTTATTATGATTTAAAATTAACATATAATATTAATAATTTAATAGAGAATATCTCCAAAATGATTCAAAAAGAATTTCAGCTACACTTGTTTCCTTTCATTATTTGCTACATGTTGCTACTTCAATATATAATACTGGACCTGCGTAGGCAACTTGGCAGTATCCAATAGAGAGGATGTGTGGAATATTATTACCTTTAGTGCGCTCTAGACAGCATCCTTATACCAATCTTCAGAATCAAATTACTACATAGATTCATTTTTCACATCTTTAATATAAAGCTAAAATAAAGCAGAAGCTTTTTAATTCGATCTTAAAAATTCCAAATTATTCTGAAAATCGTATCTTTACTACTGATAATGCACAAAAAAAGTTATATTCTCTATCATGTAAATACTATATGAACAAATCTGAACTACAATATCTCAGAGCCTATTATGTAACAGCGTTAGGAATACATATGAATCAGCTTTAGTAAGATTTAATTTACTTCGAGCTTTCTTTTTTTTTTAAAAAAAAAACTTACTTCTTTACTAAATATTATTTAAAGCCCATTACAAGTTCTATTCAAAAATACAGAAAACTTCAAATAAAGAATGGTCTAATTATTAATTCAAAGCTTTCAAATCGAAAGGGAGATTTGGCATGCACAAATTATTGTATCGCTGTATGTAGATTATAAACTGTAATTCTTTATTATTGTAATGTTAAGAATCCACTATTTTAATAATAACTTTTTTAGGCAAAGCTTATAGTTGACCGAAATACTCATTATCAAAATTCACCAGTTATTTTAGAAGAAAAGGAATTCTTTAGTGAAGTGCAATATTTTTTTCACATCAATACAATGATCATTGGTCCATGCTAGCATATATGCAATAGGTACGGAATCCTCAGCTTTCTGAACATGGATTATTAAAGTTTCGAGATCTTAGTACCTTTGAAGTAATTAATATTAGTACAATTTGTAGAAGTGTTGGATTTTTTTGATTACCTAATAATGAGTCTTATATTATTGATCAAGAAAATAGGATTAAATTTCGATAGTTTATGAAATAATTTTTTTTTACTTTTAATATATTAAAATCTCTATTCAGTAATTAAATTATATACTGGTAATAGAACTTTTATAAAATTACAATGAACGTCAGAGAAGCATATTTACAAATATGGACTTATAACTATAATGATAAGGTGCAATGAAGAGTATTTTTAATACATATTAAAAAACTCTAGTACTTTTAATTCTGTATTATTACTTCAGTATTTCATTTTAATTCCGTATTTTTACTTCAAGTATTCTATTTTAATTCTGTATCATTACAGTCACACTAATATTCCATTTTAATTCCATATCGTTAGTTTTCATGTCAATATAGAAATTACCAGTTTATGTATTACAGAAAAAACACTGATTGCTATTTATTTAACTATCACTTTTATGATATACACGGAACTTTCACAGAGTCAAGGTCAGAATTATGAAAATATGATGAAAATATTTTGGAATGCATTTTTTATAGGGTATATATATTTCAACCTTTATAACATCTATTTTACTTTTTGCATTTACATATTTTTATAATAATTCAATCTATACTTTGCAAATTAAATCTAAGATATATTAATATATTAGTAATAGTCAACTATCTATTGACTAATTATATAAAGACTAAAGGTCTACAGCCTTTTTAGCATAGCTTAGATCAAGAATAAATTAGTTTTTTCCTCTACCTCTTTGATTATTTTAAATATATATGTATATATATATTTTTTTTTTATTTAATAATAATAAAGAGCAGATCAAAAAGGAACTCTCTCTGTAGATCATTTTGATCATTTTCTGAGCTAAAGCAAAAATACAATTTTCTAAGAAATAGCATTAAGAAACAATAAAAGTAGCAATAAGCAAAAAGAGAGAGCATATAAAACTATATATATTAATAAAGAAAATCTGAAAAACTTTGAAAATAACTGAAGAAAACTTACTCCAAAAGAAAAGTTGAAGAAATTTTTAGAAAAAAGTAGGAATTTGAATTTACCCTGTCATGTAGATTATTCAACATAATACAAGAGTTACAAAACAAGGTAAACAAACTTCACATGAGTAGATAACTAATCTAATATATTACGTATAAGCCAATAGAAGAGAAGTATATAGTGCTCAAACTGAACAAAATGCAAGCAATCAGGAAAAATTCTAGAGAATTTTGTTAAAAAGCTAAAGTTACTTGTAGTAAGAGTAGGATAAGGCTAACTAAAATGTTAGCAGACAAAAAATATAGCAAAGCAATATAGTTAGAAGAGAGTTTTCTAGTGAGAGAAAATAAGA